GGCTGCGGAGCGGCATGTGCTCGGGGCGGGCGGGCTGGGAGAAGCTGATGCCCTGCACCAGGCGGCCGATGCTGCCCGTCCCGCTCTCCCACAGCGTCCCGCCCGTCCCGGGCTCCGGCTGCGACGAGTAACCGGCCTTGTCCTCGCTGCAAGGAAGGGCACAGGGAGGGTCAGGGTGGGGGGAGCACAGGGGGAAGCCCCGACACTGCGAAGAGGGGTGTGGGTGCTCACCTCAGTGTGCTCTTCACTGGTGAGAAATCCATGTCGGAGCGGGTGGGCTTGGAGAAGGCGCCGGGGGAGTCGCTGAGCCCCCCCGAGGAGCCGCGGGTTCGCTTGACACCTGCAGAGGGACAAGACACCCCGTGAGCCCCTCAGGGTGGGGGGTGTGGGACAACTGGGTGCTGAGAGACACCTCCGTCCCACTAACTTGCTGCCGGGACAGCAGGTCACCAGGCACGGGGTGTTCCTTCAGCACCACCGACAGGAATGAATGAGTATTAAGATATTTTAAAACATCGAAATCAAGGCAACTCAATCAAACGTGCCCCAAACAGCTCATTTCCCATCAAAGGCTTGAACATCGCTCTTAAAAACCAGGCTCTGATGGTTAATAGCATTTGTTTAACATCATGTCTAGAAAAATGCTTTTAGATGTTTTATATTTGCACTTGTTCAATATCACCACTAAAGATCTTCTTCACACATGCATTTGTTCAATGTCACTTTTGAAAGTGGTGTTTTGATAGGGTTATAAATCTATTTATTTAATGTTACTTTTAGAAAAGGTTTTCAGATGGTTTTAAATTGCATCCTTTAACATCACTTTTAAAAAATGCAATTTTTTTTTATAATTGCATTTGTTTAACTCTACTTTTAGAAAATACCTCACGTGGGGTTGAGTTGCCTTTATCTCATCATTAGGAAGAAATTTTTATCCCATAATTAATTGCTTGATTCTCATGTTTGATTGGGTTGTTTTATCTCATTGTTAACTTCTAACATAACAAATCACGTGACTCACACCCTTGATCTCCTCCATAAAGTTTCCTTGCAGAAAATCCCATCACCACCAGCCAAACAGCATTCAATTGTCTTGGTGGTGACTCGGTGGTGCCAAAGTGTCCAGTACCCAGTTGTCCCTTCCCCAAATCCAGGGGAACACACACATTCCCTGGGCCTCCCCCTACCCTTTTTGAGTTGCTGAACCATCGGTCCTTCTTGATGTCAGGGATGGTGATCCGGGCTGCCGGGCTCTCTGTCAGGATCTTGTGGAGCAAAGCTGGAGAAGATGGGATGGGGATGGCAACGTTCTTGTTTCAATAGCAAGTAAAAGAAACAACCTAACACTTTCTGACCTTGGCAACCTTCTAATTCTAGTGCAAATACATGGATTTGGGGCATCAGGAACTCTATTGGTTGCAGAACGTACCTGAGACCCTTCCTGCTCCACCACAAGCTCACTCTGGAAGTTGCCAAAAACCTAATTCGAGTCATGTCCACCATGGAAAACTACTAACCAAAGTCAATCAACTTGAGATTCTGTAAATACTGGTCCCTCAGGACCTTTGGAGATCCCTGGAATCCCACCAAGCTGCCACCCTGCATCTTACAGAGAAAATTGGTCCATCTGATGGGAACAAGGAAGCAGCCAGTTACTTTGCATGTGTAGGGTCAAATTATTTTTGACATTATATCAGTGACAGGACAAGGGGCAATGGTCATAAACTGGAGCACAGATTTATCCTGAACATGGGACAATACTTCTTGACTCTGAAGGTAACAGAGCATTGGAACCAGCTGCTCAGGGAGGTTGTGGAGTCTCCATCCCCGGAGACATTCCAAACCCACATGGACTTGTTTCTGTGGGATCTGCTCGAGGGGATCCTGCTCTAGCAGGGGGGTTGGACTAGATGATTTCCAGAGGCCCCTTCCAACCCCCACCATTCTGTGATTCTGTGGATCAATCAGGGATATATTTCATTGCAACTTCTTTTGGATCTTTAGGTGCCCAAATGTTAGTTTTAACACAGTTTAACCTCTGTATCTGCATGTGCGTGTGAATTCAGCTCAGACCCTTGGTTGGATCTTTAATTGAACCTCTGCCTTGATTAGAGCAAATGCTTAATTTTTGGCTAAGCTGTACAATCCAATTATGTGACTTGTTATCATGGTGTCAATCAACCTCAATTTGCTGCTATTCCAAATCCCATCAGAGCCATAAAATCTCTTAAGAGTTCTACGAAGTTGCACATTTGTAAATTGACATTAAAATAACCTTTCTTTGATAGATCTGCTGGTGACTACTTAAGAGACACCAAGACATTCTGCTCCCGATGGGGTGCTCACCTAAGGGCGCCGAATCGATCTTCTTCCAGGGTGGGAGGTAGGTCTTCCTCTCCTTCCAGTCACTGTACTCCTGGCAGCTGTCGCTGGGCTGGTCCCAGGGCAGCTCTGCTGGGACAACCCAGCGCGGGATCAGGCCGAGGGGAGGGGGGGTGGGAAAGGTAGTGTTGAAATGAGGAGGGCTGGGGGGGAAGAAGGGCCTGTGGGGGTTGCAAAGGGGAAGACGGGCAGGGGTGCGAGGTGTAAAGCACACACCCCTACAGGTTCCATACACCCACCCTTACGCATTTCATACACACATACACTCCCTAAGCATTCCACAGCTCCATCCCCTGTGCATTACATCCTATTTATTTCAAACTTACACCCCAAGCATTCCACACATACACCCCCTACACATTCCACTCCTCTGCAGCTCATACCTACACCCCCTATGCATTTCATACGTGCACCCCAATGCACTGCACCCTATGCATTCCATGCCTACAGCCCATGTGTCCACCCTGGCACGTTCCATACCTACACCCCCATGCATTCCTTATGTCCATCTCTACACATTCCTTTTGTCCATCCCTTCGCATTCCATATGTCCACCCCCCAAGGTTTCACCCTTACATATTTCACCCCTACACATTCCACACATTCTCCCCTACTCATTCCATACACCCATCCCTCT